ATTTGAATAATCTTTTTAAATAAAAGACATCAATTTGATTATTCAAGTGTATAAATTCAAATATCAACTCTTTTAATAAATATATGAACTCTGTTAATATTTAGCGTGGCCATATGGCCACGACATGCGAGTGTTTCGTTCGCTAATGGTTCGGCCATTTATACTTTTTGGCGCAAGGCGCTCAATTTTTAGGAGGTAGAACCATTTAAGTTTCAAAATGATCGAGAGCGCCAAGAGTAAGAAAGAGTTCCAGGTGTTAACTTAGTAGAGTGATTCATATAATGTTACATTACAAACTTGCATTTTCTTAAGCAGATTAGAAGGACGACATTTTAATGAGAAACTTGATCTTTTTCACGTCCTATTAATATCTGCATTACTGATATTAATCTTAATGTTAAAAGTTTACAAAAAATAGAGCGACAGGATGAAAATATTTCCCTTTGAAGGAAAAAAAAATATATATATATCGATGCGACTAAAATGATCGTTCGAGACATGAAGGGTGGTGCGAAAAACATATGTTGACACAACATGAAAAAGCACAATATTCATATCACTTTATAAGCAAATATATATATATATATATATAGATAGATAGATATATATATACATATATGAAAGAATGAAAGAGAAAAAAAATTCTCGTTTCAATTCTTTCGCGAGGGATATACTCTACACAGTATTAGTAATCAACTTTTTGTGCGGGCACAGAGAATCTGTGCGCTTCAAAGAGTCGACAGGTTCATTTGACTGCACATACGGGGAGCTCGAGGAATTAGCTGGGCGATCGACGATACCACTCCGGCGCGGCGGAAACGCAGCCGCACAAGCGCCAGTCGCTTATTTCGCGAGAGGCGAGTCGCGTGGGTGATGTCTGCCTCCGGCAGCTTCGCCGTGGAGGAATGGAAAGCGAGAGATAAAACGAGGGTGGGAGTGCAAGAGGGAAGGAGAGAACGAGAATCCCTCCGCGCGCAACCCCTATCTCCCTCGGCAACCCTCGCGTGTGTGAGGGTGTAGAGAGACGCTGTGGGTGCCGAAGGCGCAGCGGCGGCGGCCGCGAGGATGTGGAGCACGAGCCGGCGTCGGAGAAAAGATGCTGCGCGAGGAAGAAGCAGGATGGAAGAGCCACCCTCTACGCGGGGATGGAGAGAGAGAGAGGGAGGAAAGCCGGAACGACCCGGGGGTTGCCGTGGCGTTATCGACCGGGCCGCTGGTCGGTATCAAACCAGGCGTCGGCGCCGTGGCTGTCCCGGCTTCCTCGAGTGCCGGACCATTCTCCACCTCCACCATCACTATCATTCGCCACCACCACTACTACTACCACCAGCGGCAAGAGCAGTAGCACCAGCACCGCCACCTCCGCGGAGGTCGCACGGCTGCTGGCCCTCGCCTCGGCGCGTCAGTAAAGCCCGGGACAGAGAGTCGATCGCGCACACCGAGGGTGCGGGTCGTGGGTCCGGGGTTTTCGGTTCTTCCGGGTTTCGATTCCCTCGCTGCGATCTGTCAGCTCGGTCACCTTCGTCTTTTCGTTCTCGAGGGTAAATACATTGTAGACGGTTTAGCGCGACACGACGTTGTCCCTCGGTGCGATTCAACAGCTGGCAGAGAGAGAGAGAGAGAGAAAAGGTGTTTTCAGGCGGGATGTCGATTCGAAAGGACTAGTAAACATCCCCCTGGTATCGCGCCCCCGTTTGAACAGAGTTCCGGACCGCATCGCGTTCATCCCTCGTTGAACGTAACGTTATCTCGGACCTCTTAACTCGTGATGCGAGACGCATCGAATGGATCGAAGCGCTTCGTGCTGGTGCGTGTGGTGTCGGAGCGGTAGGAAATCGAGATTACATAGATACTGACACGGAATTTATTTGACCGAGGGAATCAATTCCCGGGATGGACTATGTGATACGAGAAGACGCTAGATAAGGAGTTGGATTTGGAGTTATTTTGGCTCACGGTGCGTCAATCATATTTTTCTTCTGCGAATGCGGGGATGTAATGTTTGATGATGAAGACTGAACTCGTATCTGGGACAAGCATGTTGTTTAATAACTCGCATTAAGTCTGCTTTTCTAGGCATCGAGATTCTCTGCAATAGTCTATTGAATATTCCTCAAATTTAAAACATATGGCGTCGAAAGATATCGTCGGTGATGGAAGATTTGGACAAATCCGTGTGTCTTTTTCGATCAATATGAGTCTGTCGCTTATGCACTTTTTTTTCTAGTAGAAAGAGAAGAGTTATATTAATAATAATAATTATGTGAGATAAAAGTTCCAATCCAACGAATAATGTTACAAAGTAAATAAATTATATAAAAGAATTCTCTTGGGCATTTCCAGAGAATTTATCAACCATTTTATTAAATATCGCGATTGTACTCGAAGAAATATATTTTCATCAAATTTATAAATAAAATAAATTTGTGTTAAATATTAATTATTTACCTGGAGAGAGAATATTACAAGTATTCAATTTATTTTACGATATATCTATTTATTCGTTTTTACGGTAATATTTCATTTTAATGTAATCATTTCTGAAGATAATTATAGTAACTTTCGAGTCTCTATTATTGTGAAATTGCGCGTTAATATCTCAAACTCTAACTAAGCTCTGTACGTTAAAATATAGTTAGATACAAAACCAACTTTCTCACAATGATAATAGTACATAGATACACACACATATATATATATATATATATATATATATATATATATATATATATATATGTAAATGACTCACAATAGTATTATTCTAATTATTCCCACATCTCTCATTTCATCCAATTTTATCGTTATTATTTCAATAATTTGCAAATATTATTACTTAAAAATTCGCATGATATCTAACATATGAATTTTATTTATTGATAAATGCCACAGGACAATTTATTTAAAAAATGCATTTTGAAAGTATTTAAAGTTTGAAGTCAGGAGTTATCTTAAAAATTAATTAGGTTCTCTTCTCTTTCTTTTTGTTTTCGATATGTCAAATTTATTTAAATTTTCGACTATATCGCGGATCACAATTAAATGATTAAATATAGAATAGAAGAGAGAAAATTGAACGATTGTCCATATAGTTAATCTCCGATCTCGACGATTATGGAGACTCTATACGTAATTTTGCAAAATGGATCGCCATCAATTCTCTTTGATTCGTCCATTTCTTGCAGGATGCACTCTCGTTGATCCGCGTGCAAAAATGTCACCTCTGACGCTCGCGTAATTTCCGTGATAATACATCGGCGTTTTTTCGCCGCAACGTTCGAGGAGTCGTTTTCTTTCTCCGCTCCGACTGTCATTTCTACCTCGATAATTCCTTACGGATTTTCCCCCGGAAACTTTGAACTTAGCCGACTTTTATCGAAAGCGAATTATTAATCATCCGCAGTATGCGGCCCGCTGCAATTAGCGCGGAGACCGGAATTTAATTTTGCTCATCGGGCCGAGATTGTCAAGCATATGATTCGGCATCCTCGTTTTCGCTCGTTCGTCGAATCGGAGCGCGTAATCCGACGATAGTTTGCTCCTCTTCCCAACTTGCGAAGCCAGTGCGCAGCTTCGTCGACGGAAGACTCCGGGGAAATCCGATCTGCGAAGTACTTAGAAGACAAGTCTGGACCAACTCGGGATACTCGCCTCTCTTTGTTAGCTCCTGACACGTTCCCTTCGGACGCGCGACGAAATTTTGTATAATTGTCACAATTAACTCTCGCGAGTTACTCCGCTGTCAAAGAGGCTTTGAATTAATCGAGTTTTGCTTACATAAATTAAAATTGCAAATACAAATCATAAATATAGTATCTGAACTTTCAAATAACGGCATTTACATTTAAGTGGAATGAGATCGAATGCTGTGTATAAATGATAAAAATGCGATTTACATATCTTTGATAAACAAACGCAAGTTTGTCTCGATATTTCTTTAAACTTGATGTAAACGTTTTGACGCAGAAGAGAAGTTGCGAGATTCTTCATTTTCATTTTTAATACGCTTATTTGACTTTTACTTTTGCGCAATTACGCACGTAAACAAAATTTTATCGTAATCTCTGTTAAGAAATTATGAAGTGGAAGAAAGTAAAAGTAGCGAGGAAAAGTCGCCGTGTGTTATTTAAAGATTTATTTTATAAATTGCATGCTCTCACCGAAATATCAGACTATTACGTCGTTTCGCCTCGTAGATGAGACGACTTTAAAGAAAAATACGGGCTAGGTCGACTATTTCGTTGCTTCGTACTCTAAAAAAAAAAAAAAAAAATACATTGCGAAGGAACGTAACTGAAACTCTGGGTGGTAATTTAAACACAGACTACTTCCCCTCGAAAACGTTGCCGAAGCTGAAACCGACTGCACCAAAGGCCAGAAAACACAGTTTACCTCAACTTGGAAATTGGAAATTCTCGCCTAGCCACGGTTCAATGCTATCGGATTTCGGATTTCGCGTTATTCGAGCAGCTTGAGCAACTCATTCGAATCAAACTGGATCGTCATTGCAATTAATTAGGTTTTGTCGAGGGGCGACCGATCGCGCGACTCGATTCTTCTTTATAGTTCCGGCAATGTGTACATTAATTACCGAACATTCGATTTATCAAACATAAATTTCTGAATTTACGAAAATTTTATGCAAAGAGGGTCGATGCATATTAATTTGCATATTAATACGCAATATAATGAATTTCCACTATTATCGCATCAATTTCCTAACGCAACAAAATATTGTATATATAAATATATTGCTTTTAGAATTACTTTTTTATTATTTTACAAAACGAATGCCAGCTGGTTCTCAGTTTGAAGAAAAAGTACAAAATATTTATTCGACAATATGAAATAAAAATCAATAAGCTAAAAACACCCGGAACATGTTATTTATTAAATGTAAAAATTTAATAAAAATACACAAGTCAGTGAAAGAAAAAAATATTTTGGAAATAAATCAAACAACTTATAATTGTGTAAAATATATATTAATATTGAAACAATACATAATAATAAGAAAAGTGTAAGAATTAAAAACAAAAATCATTAAAATGAACGGTAAGACGAAATAGTAGGACATAAAGAGGTAAGGAACGTAGAGGTAAGGAAGATATATCGGTGGAATACATACGCTTCACGCACGATTGTTCCCTCGGAACTATATCGAGCATATATTTTTCAGTTCATCGTGCAGACAATATAGCAGTAATCTTCGCGCCATTTGTTCTCGAGTCTCGAGCAACATCCATTTCATTGGGCTTTCGTAAAATTTTGGAATTGTATACGGTCGCGCGCGCGCGCCTGACGGAAAATGTAACAAGTTTATAAACTTATTATACTCGCGTAACTACCATCCAGTCAGCTGAATCTTGCGCGGAAATTCGTTTCCGGAGAAGCTGCGCTAACGAAGCGGCCTTTATGTGTTGTTACAGCATGTTGCGGCGTGTCGCGTAAGGAGGAAAAAAAAACAAGAAAGGAGACGAGAGAACCAAGTCTAGGATCGAGAAAAATAATTCCGCCCCGGCGGAATCTCCTTTCGCGAGCGTAGTCGACCGCAGCCGCACGAGAGAACGCTGAGAATCTTTCGCGAGTCGGCGAGGCGAAGTCGCCGATGATTCCGTCAGGATCATTCCCAGCGGCCGACGACTCGAGTTGGTCGATCGTCATCAAAGTGCCATCGCTTTCACGCGCGTGCCAGCTCGGCAGCTCAGTGTCAGCGCGAACAACGCATGCACCTGAGAATGGAAGTGAGAGCCCGCTCGGAGCACATCAGCAGCAGCAGTAGCAGCAGCTTGACAACAGCACCGAGTCGCTATCTTGAATCCGAGACGGCGAACGGAGGGCGCGAGACCGGAGGTGGCGGCAAGAAGCAGTGGGAGTGGACGGACAGCGGCGACGGGATAACAAGGGCGCAGCAGCGGGCGAAAGTAGCGGCGGCGACGTACGCAGGGCATCAGGGCAAGCGAAAATCGAAAGCGGAAGAAGAGGGTCGTCCATCGACGAGAGGGCCCCACAGATGCTGGGCCCGCAGGGGCGCGCATTCCGCGGCGGCGTGACGCGATGCGGACGTCCTCCTCCTCTTTGCCGAGGAAGAGGAAGAGTCAAGACCTCTCGCCTCCCGATACCGTCCTCCGAGTCGCCGACTACCGGCCATCGTCGGTTGGACATGCTGCCGGACGCGACACTCTTCGCCGAGTCGGACGGAACGGTCCCTCTTGTTTTAAGGGAGACAGAAGAGATGGGGACGAAGGAAGCGATCTCGCCAAAGGCATCCTTCTCCTGGCGCTTCTCTGCGCCCAGTGCTGCCTGGCGGGCGCCGAGGCCCTGGCCGGCACGCAAAAGTACTCCACCAGAACGGTCAAGACGCGATACGGCATCCTGCGCGGCATCGAGGCCAGATCGTCGAACGCCGTCGAGACTTATTATGGGGTGCCATACGCGACCCCGCCGCTTGGCGCCCTGCGTTACATGCCCCCGGTCACTCCGACGCCGTGGCGAGGCACCAAAATCGCGGACACCATGCCGCCGGCCTGTCCCCAGAAGCTGCCGTCGTCGGATATTTACGAGAAACTGCCGAAGCAGAGACAAGCTTATTTCAAGAGGCTGGAATCCGTACAGGCGAACCAGAGCGAGGACTGCCTGTATCTGAACCTCTACGTGCCCAAACCACCCCACGGTAAGTCGCCGATTTATTATTCTCTTATATATGATAGATAATATTACGGAGGAAGATATATGTATGGTATATCGCCCGCGGCAAAAGGCGGAACAAACTCTCTCGTTAAATATCTTGCTTTATTTTCGAAATGTCAAACGTCAATTTGATTTAACGTGGTATCTTTATATGAATATCATTAAAGCGTGGATGCGGCAATGAAGAATGAAGTAGTATTGCAATTTTGAAATTGTGTATCGATTGTCCCGTGGTTATAAATTTCAAAACAATCGACGGTTTTACATAACTCGATATCGCTGATTAAAAATTACAAAATGTCATATAAAAATAGGAAAATAAATCGACGTCGTCTATACGACGATCTCTTTTTATTAAAATATTTAATGACTCAAGGAATTTATATCGATATAAAATTTAATCTCTGTGTATCCGAGATATAAGACTACATTCTTTAAATCTCCTGAAGAGGATTCTCGCGAGATACTCGGATCGAAAAATGCATCGCGCGATCATTGAGCGCAAAATTCCTTGCGAGAATCGTAAATCGAACTTTTCGGACCGTGTAGCTTCTCTCGGCGCGAGGGTTTGACGATATTTCCGCGAGATAATCTATTACGAAACATGTGCTGTCCAATTTTAGAGAGATTGCCCAACTTCGTTGAGAGCGCATCGCGAGAGCGAATATAGGTCCAATTTCATTCCGCGATAATCTGGTTATCGAAGTGTTCGGGAACGTAGCGTCGCCGTGTGCGTTATGACACGTGACAATGACATCGCTCGCGTTACAATTCCGCGCGACAAAGTGTACGTTCTTGTTCGTAACATTTTTTTCAACGCGAACGCATACACGAGTCCATTAGATTCGTACTCTTTCACAAACGACATTCTATTTCTCCATTGAAATTACGTTAGCCATACGAGCGCGTGCGATCTATCATCCTTACATAGACAAAATGAAATTACATTTTTGCGATCTTATGTATAACATACACAGGATGTCCCAGAACTGGCGGAAAAGTTTTTAATGGCAGATTCCTGGTATTATTCGGAAACGACTTTTCCTCAGCGAAAATGTCGAGTGAAGATGAAGACTTTTGGGGAAACTAAGCCTTGTGCAAATAAAATATTAGAGTTTGCTTTAATAGAATTTTAATATAAGTTATAAAGATACAGAATAACAAAAATTGTGGGAACAATTGCTAAAAATGATGACCTACCTCGACATTTTCACCAAGGAAAAATCGTCTCCAAATGATACCAGCAATCTGCCATTAAAAACTTTTTTGCCAGTTCTGAGACACTCTGTTTTGATTTTTCGAAAATTGCTTCGAAGATACAGGCCGATACGATATGATATGATATTATGCCAGAATGTGTATCCATTCTGTTGTCATTGGTTGGTTATCACAAATAAAAAATATTGTATTTCTTGTAAATTTTATCTTCGAAACGAAGATAATCACCCCTTGAATTTTTGGCACATGTTTAAGAAACACCCTTTATATGACGTCAATAATTCAGCTCTGAAGGGAGAGAGCAAATTACGAGAACAAAACAAATTCTTATAACTGTAGAAATTATTATCGTTTCTTTCATCCCATCGCATCATTCGCAGAAACTTAAATGTTTTAATATCTAGGTCGCGCATTTGCAATTTGAATGAACTTTTCAAGTGCTGATGTGTTGACCTTAATCGGTTGGATGAAGTTTCTTGCGAGCGAAAAAACAGAAGAATTTTCGAAAAATCTCATGGTAGCAGAGATTGCCTCATGAATGATCCATGTGCAATAATATATTACATGGTATCACAAGATACCTAATTATCATAGTACATCTTTCATCCTCTTGCTGCATCGTAGATATATTAATTTAATACCGCTAAAATATTAAAGCACGAAGAGAACACAAGAAGATTATAAACTCTCGTGAACCATTCGTCTTGTACGCGGTATATGGTAGATTGATTAGAGCTAATCTCGCAAATTTCATTTAATACGCTGGTTTATCGAGTCAAGGAAAAAGAGAAAGAAAAATATCAAGCAACGCTTCATAGCTTTATGCGGCGATTTAGCGGTCCCGATTCCGCGTTGTGTCGGGAGACGCCAAGGTTTCCTTCTCGAGGAGAAACTACCCTCTCTCCCAATCTCTTCTCACCCTCTTCTTCCCTCGGACCATCTTTTCTCTCGCAACCCTCAACTCGGGGCTGGAGAGCGAGAGCGAGTGAACAAAAGAACGGATCGATCGGCTGATGGAGACGTTTTCCTGATTGCAAATACAGAGCGAGATTTACAAATGTGAGGCATCAACGCGAACCAGTGTACGGATCATAGAAATGGAAATCAACGGTGGAGAGAGAGGGAGAGAGAGAGAGAGAAGAGTGCAACCTATGATAAATTTTGGACGGGGATTTGACCGGATTTGCCGAACAGTTTCGTAATATTCTTGGTCGCGGGGTGGATCTAACTGACCTATTTCAGTTTTCAAACAATTTGACTTTATTGTCTCGGCAGACTACTTTATATCTCGGGATAACGATGTCTATTCAAATTTTCAAAGTTAGGAAAATATAGATATCCGGCGAAGAGAATTTTTTTTACACGAAGAGAAAGAAAAAAAAATAAACACGCTTTGAATATATATAATATATATATGTTGTAAAAGCATATATATATTGATACAAAAGGGATACGGATCTTAATGAAAAATAAACGCGCTCGCGTGGGATCGATCGGATACACGGTTAATTAAAATTGAAATTGCGCAAAAAGGGCCCGCTTTATATTTTCACGAAGCGCGATCGAGCGGAGATTGCGCACGTACGGGACGGAAGTTCGCGTTACGCCCAACGTGATCCACGATATTTCCGTTTTGTTCTATCGGGGATCCTTATTCGCGTATGGAGAGAGAGAGAGAGATTCCGCGCGCTTTATGCTGTCGAATAAAAAGCCGTAACTACCCGGCGTTTCAGCTGGATTAAAGGGAACGATCCGTCGTTCTGCTTCCTTCGCTATCGTGCGCGCGTTGAATCCTTTTGCCGCTTTTTTACGGCGAGCTTTTTCCCTCCCGTGACTTTTCTCTCGACGCGCTTGTCGCTCATCGGCGACGTATCGGGATGCAGCCGTCACATTACTTGCACGTAAGCAGCTTAGGTTTCGATCTTTCCGGAGCTATCATCGGCGGAAAATTCGAGCTCCCTCGGCGGACACGTTCGCGAACGGAACATGTTATTGAAATATTATTTTGCGAGTGTATATAATGCCTCCTCGAAATTTAGGCAACCGACAAAACTCTCCGTAATTTTCATCAAATGCGATTTAACGACAAATCAGAGAATGAGACAAGTAATTTATAATATTTATTTAATTCCATTAAAAAATAAAAATATTGTCGTGCAAGATTAAATAAATAATTAAATAAATGAATAAATAAAGAAATAAATAATTCAGATGAACGAGATGCGCGACGATTCTGTGTGATGTGAAAACTTCGATTTCGTTTGCGTTCAAAAATTTGGATATAGTTGTTGAAAGCGCGTTGAAACCATAAATCATGTTATTGGAATAAGAGTTTCGGATGAAATACGGAACTATATGGAATAAGATATAGATTGCGCAAGGAGAAATGCGTAATATGTCGTATATCATGCGGAATTCGTGCTTATTTTAACGATATTGCGTTTGTCCGGCGGTTTGAGAACTTTTTCGTTTCTCGGATCGTTTGTCGCAAAATTACTTTTATGGTTATATCCTACATTTATTATTACGCAACACGACGATGAAAGCTCGTAGCTCATATCCTAATTGTAAGTGCTTTTACAACATTTATATCGTCACCTGTATCATCCATGAATAGAGTTATCTCGTGAACAGAAAAATAGTTATAATCTGCGAGTAATCCAGCATGATTGTAAATTGTGTTTATATTTAGTGCGAGCAATTTTTTATCAAAATAAAAATGAAATGGTCAACTCACATAAATATATAGGTTTCTAAAGTTCGATAGACTTATACCGTGTCATATTTCTTCACAGAAATTAATGTAGAAAAAAGAGCGGCAAACACATCTCACTTTATTATTTCTACAAAATTAATAATACAGCCGTGTATTTACGTTCAGGATATTTTGTTTCCCGCATCGTTAAATTTATTTACGCCTCGTATCTGCCGATCTTTCGTTTATGTCAGCAATTGCAGGGATGCAGCGCTTGCACATGCAATCGTTATTCTTCGTGATGCGATCACTCGCGGGAGAAAATTCGATATAGGTAGGTTTAATATAATACACCCTGGCAATATACTTCGATACACATACACGCGAGAGAAAGAAAATGAGAAAGAGAGAGAGAGAGAGAGGGTGCGTTTCGAGAGTGAATACGGATCAGGTGGAAATAATATTCGGGATAGAGGCGAGAAAAAGAGACGAGCGTCTCGCTCGCGAATTCATCGCGCCTGTCGTTTCTCTGATCGAGTATCCCCCGGCTTTGTATGTGCGTGCGAGGAATCCGTCGCTGTGAAGAATGAAAGAATAAAGCGCACTTTTATCTAGGAAATGATGAGAAACTAGGATGCCTTACCCGCACAATGGCGAGGTAGATGCTGCATACGAGAAGAAATGAAGCGGACCGAAGGGATCTGAAGCATCCACGTATTGGAGGAATAAGATAAAGCGATGAGACGAAAAGAAAGGGAAAGAGAGAAAATGTTGTCGAGAAACGAGAGCGAGAGAGAAAAGAAACGCAAGTGTAAGGATGCGTTGCATCCTCAATTCCGTAGTGCATTGCAGTCGATTATTCGATTCACGTGAGAGAACCTGCAAGCACCGCGGGAGTGAGGTGGCTTCGTATCGGATCGACGTTCTCCTGTTCTGGGCTGCTGTGACATTAATCTAGAGAGGAGAGACAATGAAGAGGACTTCAGAAGTATCCTGACGTTTATATGCGCGTGGATCGATTCTCTTGTTATACCTGTCGACGCAATCTCGCAGTCAAAATTCGATTGTTATATTTCTGATGGATGCGTAAAATAGGACCAAAAATTTGCGAACAAATATCATCGAGTTCAAATTATCGTTTAAGTCGCACTTTTTATGGAGACCCTTCATTTAACCGAAAGTGACAAAAAAGGGAAATTAAAACTCGAGGAATCTGCGGAAAGAATATCGTTTTCCTGCGACGCTTTATAGAAGCCAATTAATTAACGGACGCACATATATAGCGATTTGCCATTTTTTACTTCACGATCGGACACTGTGGAATGTCTTGAAATTGCTGTTAGTTCACGATAACGACTTTGCGATCTCTCGTTAAGACTTTGGAGATAACGACCTTTTCGCATTAGGGACAAACTTTGGTACTAATATATATGTCGGGTTGTTCAAAAAGCTTCCCGTTTCCGAATCTCCGCTAACTTCCTTATGAATTTATTGGTTCCCGTATCTTTACCTTTCCCTGCCCAACATGTATAATATAATCATATTATACGCCGAGTTAGTGTAGAGACTTGGTGTCACAGGGAAACGACGCGAAACGACGCTTCGTACGTGCGGAACTAGAATTTCAACCATTTTCCTGTAATGTAAGATTATAATCCTGTTACGATTCTAGTTGGAGTTCCGAGAAAGATAAGATGGAAATAAAAAGCAGATACTTTTCCTACAAGTTTGACCAATATACAAGAAAATGCGGCATGTAAAATAATCTCATAAATAAACGTTGGTAAAAGTTTAAGGAGATTTTCAACTCTATACACGAGTCGCAATTTTCTCGAATAAAGAAGAAAGGAAATGTCCTACTTTATTCAATAAGGAAATTAGACCGAGAATTGTTATCATTCAAATTATTTAATTTTATATTTAATATGTAGCTTCAATTGTGTGGCACGACTCTCTTTTATACATTTTCTTAATTAAAGCAAACCATTAGACAAAACTTAGTATTGTTCTCCTAAACAGATCAAATAAAGAGACGGCGCAATAAAGATTCAAGATTGTTCAGTAAATTATTAGAAAAAAAATAATATATCACTCTATTCCATGTCATAAAAAAATCAATAATTTATAACTTTACGATGCGACAAAGGTGAGTTGATACTGAGGAAGCAATAAAAATACCGAGTCGCTCGTAAATGTTTCGAGATACGATTCAACGATCGCGGACAGGCAGATAAAGGTAGACGTGCAGATTTTCCCAGTTTCCAATGGTAAAACACGCATAGCAGAATCACGAAGATGGTGTCGTTTACTCGTTCACCTACTTAACTATCTGTCGTTTAGCGTGCGCTATCAGGAATCGCAACAGGTGTCTCGCCTGCCATCACTTAACTCGGCATATGATAGTTCGTGAAATGATTATGTTTTGATCGTGGTTGCGTTACGGATATCGTAATCGATAGAGAGAGAGAGAGAGAGAGAGAGAGAGAGAGAGAGAGAGAGAAGATATTGATTTGTTAGATGCAGAGGCAGTAACTTTATAAAAAATTCTCTTTCAATATTTATATATGTATAATTCAACGTCTCTCATTTGAATACAGACATATTCTTAATTTATAATATTTGAATCACCACAGTTGCATGTTACGTACTAAAATTCATATTTTTTATATAAGTAAAATTTTAAAAACTGTTGAATTGGACCTTTATAACTTAGCCATTTATATCAAAAATATATAATAATAATATGTTATAAATCATAATTAAATCTCATGATATAAAGTGGTAAATTTTCCATGTAACCTATTTTTTAATATGAGCGATATGTATGTACGATTAAAAAGAATTATTATCTATAATTTGATAATGATATCGCAGATTCGTAATCACATTCATGCATAAGCTGTAGAGCTATACAGAATTATATAAGATTAATTCACGAGACGCGGCTATTTTGTAGGAAAGCCGCTCTTTGATTAGATGCCTCAATTTTATGATTAGGTGCTTCATTTTTATCTGGCCGCGCCTAATTTTTAAAAGAAATGTTTAATTATCACTCATTATATTACAGTTGTATCAGTTTCACGTGCACATTTTCACATGACCTAATATTAACATAGTTTGACATAGAATATATTAAGATCAAAGGGGATTGTACTTCACAGAATTGTAATTTAAGTCATAAAATATTTGACGTCGAGATTAATTAAGGTGACTATGAAAATATATACAGCGCCGAATCAAAGGAGTAGATTTTTATTCGATAAATGAATTACAATCGACTCGAACGCGATGCAATAATTTATAACGCTTTGACGACGAGTACTTTTGTTTTTAGCATATTCTATTATCTCAGATGAAGAAAATCGGAATTGCATAAAACTGCAATTAGCGTCAGACAAAATACGTATATATTGTTGATTATTTTACAGAGAACACACAAACTTTCTACATCTATCATATTTATGTTCGTACATTTATCGAGACTCATATTCGCAAACAGATGTTGTGGTAGAATGTTCTCTGGTGTTGCAGGTAGTATCGCAGACGCGCTTCCAGCTCTTCTCCTCATTCACGGCGATTCCTATTCCTGGGGTGCCGGAAATTCATTCGACGGAACCGCCCTGGCTGCTCACGGACGTCTCATTGTCGTCTCCATCAATTTTCGTCTCGGTGTGCTTGGTAAGCTGGCAATACTTATTCATTGAGACAAACTATCTCAATTTTCCGCCGTTTCAGAACACAAACTACGCCTTGCAAACGTTTGCGGTTATTTCATTCGATCGCTTACAACCGCATTCGCGTTTATTGCAATCGTTTGTGAAAAGACAAAACAGAGGCGGCTCCGGAAAAATTGCTGCTGCGTTGCTTTGTCAGAAAACGAGATTTTCTCTTACCCATTATTTATTAAAACTTATATCTAAGGAGAAAAAGATGCATTAGTAATAATAATAATAATAATAATAAAATAATAATAATAATAATAATAAAATAATAATAATAATAATAATAAATAATAAAATATAGAATACACAATTTTATGAAATATTTTAATCTTATTTCTTTCGCAAAAAATCGCAAGATTGAAGCAACTATTTTCTCAAGTGGATGAACATATCTGTATCGACGAGTGACAAGTTGACACTTGAATCGATATTCAATAAATTGGCGCGTGTTACGCCAAGAAATTACTCTCTTGAGAGTACAACAATGGCAAACGATGCACAATAAATCTGATAACGCTTGCTATTTTATGCGCAAGAGAGCTGATAGAAAGTTTTCGGATTATAAAATTCGCCGAGTTTACCTTGCTTTTGTTTATGTGGCGCAACTAGCTCTTTTGTTCTTTCATAGACTTAAAAGAATGATCTCATTACTCGCGGCAGTCAAGGGAAAAAAGTTTGTCGAGATCTTTGCCAGATTACTTACTTTCCGCGCGCGCGGTTGTACGTAGGAATTTTTCCTCCGGGGGTTGTTACTTACGCGATAGTCGAGACTTTAATAACGACATTCTCCACCTCTCGAATATGGATAACAGCAATGAGTTGAGTTGTGGGACGCGCATTTCCGAGGCAGTCACGCGTGTGCGTATGCCAAAATTAAAAATGGGAACAAAAGGGAAGAAACAAAGGGAGTTTAATGAGGACGAAGAAAGGGATACGTAAGGTCCGGGTGTTTTCCGTGCGAGTAGATTTTCGCGCTCGTTTGCCGCATGGTCGCGCGACTTTTTTTTTTTTTTGGAGTGTCTGCTAAATATCGCGCACGTAATTTAAGTTACGATGCGATGCGTTGCAAGAATGGCCGCGTGAAATATTATTAACATTTTTCCGTGCATCGAAAAAGAATAAATAAGTAAATAGAATGAATCTCGTCTAGTTCGAATTTATTTGATTTCTCTATAAATGTTATTTTTTAATTAATCTGTAAACGCGGAATTTATTTGTCGATACTCTCGTGTGTTCTCTTTTTTATGACGCCGAAAGAAAAATAAAATATTACAATTTTACGTTCATTCGCTTACAAAATTTATATACCTTCATTTATATTTTCATTTTGCAATTTTACATCGATTTTCATATCGTACGTTTTTCACATAAACGCGCATCACATTATTATACATCTATTGAATTTATTTTTCTACGATATTTTTGAAAGGTGCGATGTTTAAAGGTTCGAGTGCGTGTCTAATCATGCATAAAACGATAAACAACGCGATATTATTCGAAAGGTATGCAGACGTGTTTACAACACCGTTTCCCCCATTCATGAAAGAAGCCCGAGGCATTCAGTGGAACAATTTTCGATATCGATACGCCGTATTTTCACTATACTGGAGTTGGGGATTTTGCGCTCCTCTATACTGCAGTTCCGTATGCGTTTTGTTCATCGTTGAAGCGAAACAATGCCTGTAGCGTTATTCAATATTGCTCGGTCAGCCGATTCCCATTTTTTTCCCGTTTTTTCTTGCTACTTCACTCATTAGTCGTGCCTCTTTAATTGTTTAGTGCTATGTACTTTCGTATTTACATTAACACGTACTACATTGGTACTCGTAGCTTTTTTTGTAAATAATAAACGTATTTTTAATCGATGCCGCATTTCTGCAACGCGAATCGATAAAATAAATAAATAAATACATAATTAATAACTTGATAATTATCGAGAAAAAATATCTGCTTTTATCATATATTTCTGAAAAAAAATATTTTTTATGAAAATGTATATAACGGCGAAAACATTTATTTACGTAACTCGTATCACTCTACGATATTTCTCTGATATTAAATGCGAATGTAATTAAGACTTGGCACTAGTGTACCAATGAATATGTGAATGGGATTAAAAGGCGAATCGGATTGGAATGAAAAACTCGCTTCGCAGGCAGATGGCGAATCAGAGTGACAAGCCTGCAGGAGAGTCGAGGTACAGTAAATTGAAGCAAGCAGAATTGAGTGCCGGCGAGCAAATGTTTAATTTTAATCCGCTTTATCCTCCGATCTCCCTCACTCGTTGTTACAATAATACTATACGTTTACATACACATATAGATATCTTGGCTTTTGTTCCACTACGATAACTAAAACTCGGTAATAATTAAATAGATCAGGCATTTCTTTCTATTAGCGTAAACACTACAAGTTAATTAGATTCTAATTTAGTGAAAGTTTGCAATTATTGTTTGCAATAGAATTCAATTGTTCGATTATATTTGCATAGGAAAGATGAAATGAATGTGAGATAAAAGTAGCCCCCTCGAAAGGCAACTTTATTACCAGAAATGTCTGAATTATCTTCTCTCCGAGAAATTTTTTCCAATAATAACACTGTTCAACAAAAAAAATATTGACGAGACTAGTCGTTTCTGATAGTTTTTTTTGGATGTTGAATACAAATCTGGTTTTCAAATTATTCCTATAGGTCACTGAATACGAATACAGTGTCAGAATTGTCAAATTCAAAATGGTGGACTCAATACGGATCTATATAAAAAAGCATTTTAAAATTTTGACATTCCCATATTGAGTACCATTTTGAATTTGACAATTTTGACATTAAATTCGTATTCAATGATTTATTTAGAAATCGTCAATGACCTAATTGTAAATCACAGCTTCGGCAACACAGCTCATATTTAACCATGGATATTTTATTAATCATAACCGACATCACAAAAATTCTTTTTAATGGTTAAAAGTCCAAACAATATATTTATTTATTTTGATTACAATAAAACGTCTCTAGCACGTGACGTATTATAATTATAATATGAAATGTTCGTGAAAATAGTCTTTTTCGCAATTTTAATTAAAAATTCTCAAAATTATGATTCAGCATCTAAAAAACTATAAAAAAAACGCTTCTCGTTCCGATGTTCGAGAAAAATCATTTTGTGTTGAACAGTAGTGTAATTTTCATTTCTTATTCGAAATAACCAGCCAAAGTCTCTCTGTTCGTCCTTCTGTGAAATAATAATGCAGTACTTTGGTACTTGTGCATGCAAATGGGCCTTTCTAATTCAGACGCGTTGACATTAACAGGCTTCCTGAAAACCGGATCGAAGGGAAGCGCGCAAGGCAATTACGGATTGATGGATTTGGTGGCGGGACTTCACTGGCTGCGCGAGAATCTCGGCGCTTTGGGGGCGATCCTGAGCAAGTAGCGTTGCTGGGCCACGGCACCGGGGCGGCTCTCGCTAATTTTTTAGCCGTCTCCCCTATGGCGAAAGGTAAGGCGTTTCGTGAGTTTCATCGTTTTCGCGGCCAAATACGACGGATTTGGATACGTCAGTCAACGCGTTGGTTAACGCGCCATCGACCGCATTTGCAGTTGACGTTTCTCATACATTCGTTTTTATGTAGAAGCGCAAACTGTGTAAACATATGTCACGAGATATTTTTTTTTTTTTTGACAACATGTGTCCAGAGAGATTTGATTTTTTTATTTATTTATTATTGGTTCAGGGGAAAAGGGACGATATATTTTACGCTTTACATTATGTTTCATTTTATGGATACATCGACCTCTCGCTAGAGAAAGATTGATAACATCCTTTTTCCTTTAGCCGTATTACAGATAAGACTACGAAGATAGAATGGTCTTTCAGTCGCAGTCCTCCCGTAAATTGTAGTCTTGCTTACAAAGGGAGAAAATTGATTTGATTACATTCAAACACTTTGACTGACGTTGGCGCAACCGTCTGTAAAGATGAATATGCTAATTGGAGCTGATTTATTCACCTTTCGTGTCTAAGCTTATTGCACGGTATATAGAGCATAAGATAAAAGGGACAAGTTAATAAGATATTTAAGACAAATATTCAAAATATTTGAAAATGCAGCTTCAGTACGACGAAATAATGAAAGGCTAATTCAATGTTGCGAAATACTGGATCTTAAAATAATAAAACGCTAGTATAATTTACATAATGTATATGTACATGTTAAATATAAAATGCTCCTCGTATACAATACAATTAGATAAATTTCTCGAATTCTTTCGTTTATATTTTTTATCAGCTGTATCGATACGATTAAAGCGGGAGCTTGTTTTCGAACAAATTGCAGAGTTGATCAGCAGGGTGATTTTGCTCGGAGGTTCGGCTCTATCGCCATGGGCGGTTCAGCGAGAACCGCTAATGGTGAAGCGCCGAGTCGCCGAAGAGATCGGATGTCCCGGCGATATCGAAGCCGACGATATCGCATCGTGCCTTCGTTTAAAGAGCGTGGAAGACCTACTAGCGGTGCAGCTGGATCCGCCGAGATTCACCTCCGGATTTGCACCCTTTATCGACGGGGCCGTTCTACCACCCACTGTCAATCAGGTGAGACTATTTGTCTCGGTAATCGATAGTCTCGAGATAAAACAATATAGTAAACAATAGTTGCACTCCTCCCATTTCTCGCTCGATTGTTTCGGTTTTTGAATGCGCTATTAATTATTTAGTGATTGACATTTTTGTTTAATCTGCAGTTTGATCGAACTATTCGGTTATTTTTTTTTTTATTGGAACTGAAAAGAGGGTCGCGAATCAATTATGAACTCTCTGAGATTAAAGTTGATCTTGGCAGGGATGGGTATAAAAATATCGTACTAACATTTTTGTAGCATTTTTTTTGCACGTGACACCGCTAATGCTATCTGTCGTTTCGGAACGTCCGGTGCAACGTTTCAGTTTCAGCGTCGCTTTGGATGTTTTTCCTAAAATTTGCATTTACATTCTCCGCGTTTCGTGGAGATATATACGTCGTTTTAGCGCGGGGCCGTTTAAACGCAAATTACACGTGGAAATTCCACCGCTTCATACGCGACGTAAATAAATATAACGGGGCTAAGTAAACATCGGCATCGATGCGCGTTTCATTTAGACGATTACGGAATTTGCAAATGTTGTAATTGTATGCGGATATTAGCCCCCGTCGTCGACGAGCCGGCCGGCGTATTGATTTTGTGCAAGAGCGAACGAGATGACTAGTAAACGATGAATCTGCTAATTGAACGGACAACCGGTTGACGGATGACGGATTCGAGAATTCGTAATAGCTAGTACTTTGTGCATGCTCCATTAACTCATCCCTCGATAGTCTATTTGGTTACTCGCATATCACGATCCCAAACTCGGGTATAACGCGAAATCGGGAAGGATGTACGAACGCAGGTGCATAAACTACTGAAAAAAGTGATCAAATATGTCTCTATTGAAAATCTTGGTATCTCTATTTTTATTTCCGGCCAAATGTATGGCGCGGCTAAATCTTTGATATTACGAGAATATAAAGCAAAATTATTATTACATTTTCCTCCCTTTGATGGAGATTTATTTAGCAACGACGGAGCTAGAGAGAGAGAGAGAGAAACAGGAAAAATTGAAAATGAAAATACTGCGTGCAAAGTTTATCGATATGCACGTTCTTAAACGTAAAAAAATGGTTTGATTAGAACTTTCAGCCCACTGCCTCTTCTTCGGGAATAATGCCGATCGTTCCCGGACCCGGCACCGAATTCGCGGACTTTGGCAATCGTGATTTACTCTTTGGTTTAACGTCCGAGGAAGCCTGGGTAAATTTCACCGAGGAAGATTTACAGGTACAGTTTTACATCAGCGTGAATTGATTTATGGAAAGCATCCCGTATAAAAATACGTATAAAAAAATATACGAACTATGTATTGTGCTCGTTTTTATAATTCTTCTTGCTATTAGAGGGATTATTTTTCACAGATTATACATACATATTTCATAATGTATGTACGAAAAGAAAAAAGAAGGAATGAAAAGTTTCAAACTTTTTTATCTATTCTTCTCTCCGTTACTATTATTACGCGTATACTCTTTTTTATTTCCGTATCGATTTTATTAAAAAATTTCATGTTCGGGGCGGAAATGATTTCTTGATTAATGGTCGACACTTCGCGTGCATAATATGTAATTGACATCGATGGGATATAATTTGACAAATTAATGAGCTATACCCATCGCATCACGATTCAGCCCTCGCCGATCGCGTTCCGGATATTATTGACTCTCTGATGGTCACGGCCACTGAGTTGCATTGTATATGACACTCATCTTCCTACCTTATAATGGCATTTGGATCAATAATCCATACGCATTTATTGCAACGAGCGTGATTTGTTTATTTGCACTAGTAAAATTTCCCGACAATTACCTCCTAATCATGAGCGTCCGCAATTAAACATTATTTGTTCACCTTGTGAATAAACACTGAAACTTTTGCAATTTTATTTAATATAAAAATATTAAAATAACAAAATAATAAAAAATTGAATTTAAAAAATTAAGAAAAAAATAATAATATGCTCCTCTCTGGAAAAATCCTACAGATACTCATATGCTCCTAATAATTAGCGATCGAAAGAAATTGCGTTATAAAGTGAGATAAATTCGTAAAAAAAAAAAGGAAAAGAAAAACGTATTTCTTGTGTCAAATATTCGAACGATCCGCTACTTTCCGCGTTCGTGAAAGCAGACAACTCTTACAAATTCGCAGAAAGGCTTCAACGAAACTAGGAGGGATCGTATATTGCGCACCTACGTCCGGAACACCTATCGGTTTCATCTGCATGAAATCTATTCGACTCTTCGGAACGAGTACACCGATTGGGAGCGAGGCGAGCAGAGTTACGTGGCGATCTGCGAGGGCCTCTTATCTCTCCTCGGAGACGGTCAAGTTGCCGCGCCGCTCCTTAAACTGGCTCTGCTTCACTCCACCTCGGAGGGACGGGGCTACTTCCTGCACTTCCAGCCTGGCGAACGACCGAGCCAGAAGGGCGAGGAAGTGCCCTACCTCCTGGGTATGCCTCTTCTCCGTGGGGAAGTCACGTCCGCGCTGCCTGCCTCTGTCAACTACACCTTCGCCGACGAGAATCTGTCCAAGCTACTCGTGCATTACTTGGCTAACTTTGTGAGACGCGGGTAAGTTCTGCTTTCCTCTCTATCGTTCTTGTCTGACTATTAAATTAACGTCGTTAATCATGTATATCGCTATTTGGAAATTAAAAGTTTCGTCACAAATATATAGGGACATTTTATAGATATTTCACTCTTTTTTTTTATTACAATAAAGTTTGCGAAAATATCGCGAAAAAGAATAAAAATTGAATTAGTATTTGAATATTTTTTTTATGAAATTTGTCCGACAACTCACAGTCATCACTCGGTGACACGACGATGCGAAATAACTAGGTGCGAAAGGGATAATCGGATAAGTGAACCTCTCTCGTTAATTTACCCGGTTCAAAGTTCTTTGGAACTTAAGCATCGCATACACTTCGATTACCTTCCGTAAGGAGAGTCTGCTGCAGACTGGTAGTGGTAGTAGGGTAAAGTTACAGCTGTGAAAGGATTTTGGAGCCAAACTCCCGCAAAGGCCGTTAACGCGCTCAGCGAAAGCTCGCAATCTCGAAGTAGAGTAGAGTTGTTAGCGGAGAAGACGCGAAGTGATTTTGGCTTCTCTAATTGCGGATCGGTGGCTATCTGGATGATTACTCTGTCATCGACACGGTGAATTTTCTCAAAGGATTTTGTCAGTGGCGAATTATCGTGCAGGAATCTGAGAGACGTTCGCTTAGGATCTCGCAACCCACAAAATTCCATTTTTTCCAATTTTTCTTTCTGCCTTTCTCAATTATTAATCGTGATAATATATTTTTCGAGATTAATTGGCAAAGAAAAAATCAATGATTATATTTTCCAAAAAACAGAGCGACACATCAGCAACAGGCAGATATCTGTCCATATGTCAAAGGGTCGCGGTTACACTCGTTGTTCTAGGGATCCAAATGGCGTGAGTCCGTTGACCTCGGGATTGGAGAACGGTTTGACGTCGAGTCCGCCGTTCTGGGATTCGTACGACTCTATAAACCAGTTATACCTGGAAGCCGGCCACAGCACGGAGATGCGTTCGCATTACAGGGGCCACAAGATGTCCCTTTGGCTGAACCTGCTGCCGCAGCTGCATCGGCCGGCTTTCGACACCAGCTTTCGGCACCACCATCTCTCGGACAACGCCAATCTTTACGAAGGTGCGGTGCGTCCGCAGAGCGCGGCCGTACCCTTACCGGCGCCTCCGCTACCCATGCCATCCCCTACGGAACCGTCCTCGATCCTCACCATGCTGTCGACCACGGAATGCACCCCGAACGCGACCGTCGCGACCACCATCACCCCTACAACCTCGCGAACGTTGCAGCACTCGAATCTGGGCCCGGGTCCCAATAATCTCCTCCGCAAACTGGCGTCCAGCCACTATCAGAGCTACACCACCGCCCTCACGGTCACCATCGCGGTCGGTGTGTTTCTGCTGTTGCTCAACATCCTGATCTTCGCGGGGATCTATCATCAGCGCGATCGGAACGCGTCCGGCGGCGGCGCCTTCGGCAACAAGAAGAAGGAGGAGTTGCTGGAGGCCGGTTGCTCCGGGATCAACGTGACGGGGAAGCAGCGACTGCCGCCTACCATGAATCTGATGGACTCGTCGTCGTCGATGCTGCCGCATAAGGCGAAACTCGTGCAGGAGCTCGAGCTGCAGCTCCAAGAATTCCAGTGCTCGCCTCCGCCCGGTGGCGGTAAGCGAATCCTGGAGCCGCCATCTTACAGCAAGAGCTCCTGCATCCAGCGTACTCGGACTCCGTCGCCCTGCGTAGACGCGACCATCGCCCGGATGGACGAGGTCAGCGGCGGCGAGGTCGGCGGTGTTCGCCACCACCATGACAGCGAGGACGAGAACGAGGAACTTCCGGAACCGCCACCGCCGCCCAAAGCTCCGGCGCCCAACGTCAACCTCACGTGCCCCGGGATTCTTCGGCAGCCTGGGACACCCGGTAGCGCGAAGAAGCGCGTGCAGATTCAAGAGATCTCCGTGTGATAGACGGGAAGTAAAGGAGGAGATAAGGGTGAAGAGCAAGAGGGAGGATTTCAGTCTCTTGAGAACTTTGATGTTGAAGAGTGGGCGGTTTGCCGAGAACGTGAGAGTGCAACGAGAGAGAGAGAGAGAGAAAGGCGATGTCGATCGAGATCAAGTGTAGCGAGGAGCGTCTTTGAACTCGGATTATAATCGGATATTCGAGGCGCGAGAAGATACGCTCTCTCAGTCACTGTCGAAGCGAATTTCGTTTCTATATAATGAAATTTTACCGTTTTCCTGGATTACTTTCGCGTTCGAAAATGAATAGAGCGCGTATTCTCGTTGCAATCATCGGTTGATTTATTATTTATTGCGAGATGAAAAACGCGAATTGCTTTAACGCTTTTTTTGTTGTTTGCGAAAATAATTCTCTTCTCGATATCTGTTCTTGTTCTGAAAAATATTCTAGACCACTGATTCTTAGAAATGGATTTGGCTTAAAATCGACGATCAAACTTAATATTAATTCGCGCGTTCTTCGCTACGAGTGATACGACGTGACATCCTGAAGAAAAGGTGAAACATAATTTTTACTAGCTGTAAACGTCGTACAATGTGTCGTGTGCAAGTGTTAGGAAGTGTGTTTTCGAGAGGAGTTTCTTACTGAGGCTTTCGGGTTGTGATTCGCATCCTGCATCACGATTCGGTGAATGCAAATACTACGAAACAGACAGGAGATTCGTAGTGATCCCTTCCGAGACGTGAATCTTCGTTCGTCCATCAAGGACGGTAACGTCTGACACTTGAAATTCACGGACCGGCCGACACTCGTTTATCGACTCTTCAGCTGGATCCGATCCGGTGGTTGTTTTAACGTAAAACGGGGGATTGATGTAATCTCAGGAATAAAAAAAAATATGCAAAGGACATTACATACATCTCGCGGCAAGGTATATACGGTACCTGTCGTGGTGCTAATTCGGGCTAATTCGGTCCGCATCTGCCATAACACTAAATGGAATTAATCGAGGAATTGGTAGTCTTGGACTTTGACTTTTAGATTCGTAAAAACGACGAGGATGACTAGCTATTAATATGTATGTGTGTGAAGAAAGACGTGACAGAACGACGGAGAGAAAAAAAAAGAGTAAGAAAAAGAGGATAGAAAAGAAAATGAAATCTGTAAAATGAGATGACCCTCGCTGGTGTAATGGGGCGTATGTTTGTGTGCGAGGGTGTATGTAATCTTATACAAGGAATTAGAGACACGTATGAGATGAGATAGGTCTAAACGGTTTAATGGCAGCGGGAAAGTATTCGAGAGGATGCAGGTGACTCTCCACTATTTGTTTGAATAATTGTCGCTGTTTATAACGTAAAGTTGCATTCGCCAAGAAAAATTCGATACACAAAGTTTTAGCATTTTATTAAAAAGACTGTATATCTGCGTTATACGTTATACACTCGAGTATCTTTATAACGTATACATTTGTCAGAATGTATTGCGGTATGAGTTTTCTCTAACTTTAATATTCACCTGGGGGGCTGGAAAGAGAAAGAGAAAGTTGCACTGTTTGAGAAAGTTATAAATTTCCCACAACTTTTTGACGACTGTTATAAAAGAGAAGTGTTTAGATAAAGAGTTCCTACTTTTGACCAATCGGAGATTGTCTTGTAATATAATGCTATGAATTACTCTAGTAGTGGAGAAACTTATTTGTTTCAAGTTGATTTATTTCATCTTATAATTCGTATTTAAATTTTTACTTGTGCTTGAATTTATTTTTCAAAATCTTTCTATTTTAATAACTTTCATAAATATTCTACAATAGATTTTTTCCAAATTAAAATTATTATTCTTTTTTTAAAAATACTGTTTAACTTTATCAGCCCTTATTAATAATAATGGAATTAGTGTAGGTAAGTTAAAGTTTCAATTCCTTTGAGAGTCACCTGTACATTGTAAATTTCAATATTGGAAATTAATAATTCAAAAGCGAAAAATATTCGGGTTTATATATTCTAATTTATATTTTTTTTCTGGGGTGCTTAGACGTGTCGAATTGGTTACTATAATAATAATAATGATAATATTAATAATAATATATATACATATATACAATGTTATTAGTTTGAATTTAATTATTTTATATTTTGCTTATCTTTCTAAACTCTTAAACAGATTAGAAAAGAGACATTTAGAGTCAAATTTCTAAGCGGTACTTTAAAGATACTATTAGATATAATATCGTTGCGAGATTTCTCAGAGGTTCTATTATTAAAGTACTATATAAAACTGAAGAGACACACATTTTGTATGCAAAATAAGATACGAACTTGTTGGACTTAGGCAGATTTTGATTTTAGTTTATCACGTTACGCATGCCACGCAATGGAACGCACAACACTTCTTGACGGAATGTAATCGAAAACCGGAAAACAAGAATCGACTCGCGACTCAAAAGTCGAAAGATATGTCGCATAAAGCATCGAATAGAGAGAAGACGAGCGTCACATCGTCGTAAGCACCCCTGTAAGAAACTTTTCGAGAAAATGAGGAAGAGAAATCGCGAGTGGGGCCACACACCGTAAGTAACCTAACTCCTAATTAACTTAGTCACGGGGAAACTTGCCATAATTAATTCGATTGCACTTCGCGTGCGTTATCGTTTAGCGGTGAGACGCTGACGATGTTAAGGTATGTGTGTATGTTGCGTATATAAAGATATAATTGAGAGAGAGAGAGAGAGATCGAGTATCGAACGCGCTGTAATAAATCGCGAGGAACCTCGTTTTGCTGATCGATCCGAGAAGCGCTACGTAAACAGACAGCTGTTCGTCGAATTTGGATACGATCGTTAAATTAGCTTCATTTGCATCGTACCTCCCTGTGGAGAGGGTTAAGTTTCATTGTCATTTGCGCGTCAGGCAAAGGTGATGATCGAGCCTTGTCAAAAGCTGTTTACTACCGCCGTTCCTTTCGTTTGCAAATTCTTCAATCGATTGGAAATCGATTCTTTCTCGATGGAAACGTTCAAATTCAAGCCATCGTTGAATTTTCAGTGTGCGAAAAGGGATGTGATTTTTCTTTTTTGGAGAACCAAGGTGCTAATTAACAAAACTGCTAATGACAAAGAAAACCTCTCTCTTATCTTTCAGGATATTTACAAAATTATATAAAAAGAGGATTTTAAGACATTCAATTAAGTTCTAAGAGAAAGCAATTTAATTAGAGGATCCGTAGATGAAAGAAGTGGCGGTACTTTTATGACAGTGGGTATACATACAGAATTAACAAGAGAAAAAGAAAGAAAGAAAGAAAATACTATGGACATAATACAGATAGCCTAAGGGATATCCGACTATGCTGCCATGATCTGTATTATGTCTATGGGGAATGCGCAAAACACAAAAACGCACCCACACGTATATACATCTATCAATGTTTGGAATGTTGGGATTTGTTTAAATAAATACTTAAAAGATTAAAAGCGTAAACTGATGGCGTCCTAATTTCGCGCATGTCCTAAGCCATTCCTATCGCTTCCTAATATTTCACATGCAAATTAAAAATTCTATACATTTATTTTCAAGTTATTGCATAAAGATACACGTAGAGAATTTTTTCTTAGAATTTACCCTGAAAATCATGATAATCATGGGACAATATGATATTGGAAGAATTTTATAAGAGTTTCTATGATTCATAAAAGATATTATTTGTACGTAGTAAAATTAATCAAACATATTTTATATTTTTATTGTGGTAGATATTACTATTTTCTATTGTGGTAACAATATTTCATCAGAGAAACTCTTATAAAATTTTTCTAACCATATTGTGTCACGATTACCACAATTTTCAAGATATAAATAAGAGAAATTTATCTCTGCATAATATTAAGAATAAAAATATATTAATTAATTTGAAATTTCATCCCAAGTAAGTAATCTAATCAAAACATGATAATTATAAAAAAAATCTTTCTTTTTTACTTAATATTTTATATTTTTTTAATCAAAAATTTTAATTATTCGAGAGAAATATTAAAAATTGCTGCAAGCGTTAAGTAGATGCGCGCACGTACTCTCGTTCTTAAGAAGGGTAGTGCCAAGTGTAGGCTGCGAAACAAAGTATGGAAAGATCGAGGGGATTAGAGTGCACGAATGCCTACCGTCCCTTTCTTAAGCTCGGCACAGTCGTATTGAAGTCTCGAGGTTTTCTTGTTCGCGCGAAAGGTAAAGCCTGAGGTTTAAGGGTCGGCAGTACACCCAGGCAAACTCCGAATTGATATTGGAGACCTCGTGCGGTGACAACGTGAAACTCCGGTTTCAGTGTTGCCAACGCCGAGAAACCAATTCTCGGGTTTTATGTAGTGGTGTATGTCTGTACACGTACATACACCACTGCATCGCTCACGCGGACGCACGTAAGAGAGACAAGGACCGATAATCACGTGTTCTCCTTGTTCCACTACCGTGCCGGTATACGCGAGATGCCGCCTGAAAATGCTTTCTGGCCTTCCGTAGCAGAAAGCAGTAACGTAGCAAGACTAATAAGCACCCATTTTTGTAAATTTTATATATGCTTATGCACATATGTGGATATATTATTTATATATAAATATATATATATATAAAATATACTAATTTACTCTCAATTATATATGCTACTGTTATTATTTATCATTAGACAATTATAAAACAGAGGTTATAGATTTGGTCTGACTACACTGGCCTCAAATTAAAGTTGTATATATATTTATTTTAACGTTTCGACCATACGGGATGTGGTCCTTTTCAAAAATACAGATTGGAATATCAGAGAGTTACAGCATTTCGTCTTTAAGATGTAAGCGCAAATTATGATTCGGAGAGATTTAACTTGTCAAATAATAAAATATAAAATAAATTATAAAACATATACATATATAATTTGTAGTGCTATATATATATATGTTTTATAATTGTCTAATGATAAATAATAACAGTAGCATAATTGAAAGTAAATTAGTCTACAATGTTAGACACGGGTACTTGTTAGATTTGATAATTTATTGCTTATACTTTTTCGAGAGACAAGAATAAGAGAACGAATATAAATTATTATTAGCTTGTATAGCAATCATAGATTGACGAATATGCATTGGTTATTCTTGATTTTTTTTCTATTATTGATGTTATTGTATAATTTGCTCCATAAATACTTATAACATAAAAGAACTTATGTCGAGTAATATTGATCAATGCAAAGGATGTTCAGTATGTATCACCCAGTAAATTATTAGAGTTCAAATATATCAATATCAATTTTTTAATAATATATTGGAATACAGAGAAATGATAAAAAAATATATTTCGGCAATAAAAATTTTATAAATATATTGAAAATATTTTTACTACACGCGCGCGCGCGCGCACACACACACACACACACACACCCACATACACACTATATAAATGCAAAATAATACAGAAAATAAATTTTTAATAAAAATCAACATACCAGCTATTTGTGTATGCATATGTAGCTGCAAGCATGCAACGGATTTATTACTTGATAAATTTATTTACGGACTTATTTTGCATTTATATATATATATATAGTGTATGTAATTGTAAAAATGATTAAAATATTTTCAATATTTAAAAATTTTCAAGTTTATCGCCTTATATTTCTATAATTTTTCTATATTCTAATATATTGTAAAAAAATTGATATTGATATATTTAAACTCAAGTTTTTTACGTGATTGAATATTATTGCATTGAGCCATCATACGTTACTCGTAAGTTCTTTTACGTTATAATAGTATTTATGTAGCAGAGAGAAAGAGATAAGAGAGAGATTATACAATACAACTTCAATAATCGAAAAAAATCACGATAACGCTATTGTCATATCTATGTGTGTGCATATATATAAACTTATATATTATATATTTTATAAATAAGTAAAATATTATGCAGACAATGTATACAATATAAAATGTTCAGTTTGTGCTATGCTTCAATCAATAACACTGGTCGACAAAAAATGACTTTTTTCAGGTTCGAAGATTTCCAAAGCGTATTTTTGTAGATTTTTTTCATGCCGATTACAAATTCGGCCGCAAAAATTGCGTATCACGTCACGTTTTTTAGATATCTTGATCTAAAGATGCAAAAAAGGGCATTTTAGATACTTTTCCGTAAAATATATAGCTTTAAATTGGGATGTGATAAAAAGTGCTACGACGGCTCAAAATAAAACTTCTTGTAGTTTATATAAAAAATATATAAAAGATCGAACCTATAAACAGTTTATTGAAAAAACTAAATTAAAAAATTGAAAATATTTTTTGCACGTTTCCTTATACTACTAATACAAAGTCTTTAGAGGTTCGATAGATAAAATATTTATAAATATTATTTTATTTGTACATAAATATTTAATTATTTATATAGATTTATTTACAAATATATAAATCATAATAATTTGAAACACATTATGTGAAATAATCTACATTTTTGTAAACACACACACACCCACACACACATATGTAAAAGAACAAGAATAGCAATAATTCTTGCCTAACATTATCTTTCAATTATCGTTTCGTGTACGCAATATATGTATTTCGCATTATGCATCTGTAACAAATTATATCGAATGATTTATTATTTGCATATTAATTTGCATATTATCTACCCAGACAGCACCAAGTCTAAAATTGACGCATAAGATAGCATTAAGAAATCTTTAAGACAGCTATTTTATGATATGATATCAAAAAGACATCTTAAAGATATCTTACGCGCCAATTTTGGACTTGGTGTTGTTTGGGTATATAAATAAAATATGTACACAAATAAAATAATATTTGCATAAATATTATTTTATTTGTACATATTTTATTTACATAGATTATATGCAAATATTTAAATAAATCATTCGATAATTTATTACACATTTTATTTATTATATAGATTTATATAGATTATATGCAAATATTTAAATAAATCATTCGATTATTTGTTACAGATGCATAATGTGAAATATATATTGCGTACACGAAACGATAATTGGAAGATAATGTTAGGCAAGAATTATTGCTATTCTTATTGTTCTTTTACATATAATATACATATACAGAGAAACAATGATAATACGAAAACCGGTTCTTGCTGATATCTCCCAATAATCGCATTCGTTCAACGCATTAGTGTTTGTGTCTACATGGATGTTACTACATATGCGATGTAAGAGAGACAAGGACAGAATGATAGTCTCTCCTTGTCAAGCTGTTAGCTGTCAGTATGTTACTACGGAAATTTCCCCTGCTCCTTATGAATCTAGTGAGAATCTTATAGTCCAGATATTTCATAAAATAAGTGACATAACTTTGGTTTTTTTTTTTTAATATATTCTTGATATAATAAAGTAGTCCGCCAAAGAGTCGGATTTTGCATTTTTGCTCTGAAAAATTTATAATAAATAAAATACGGACTCCTGGCTAACCCAACCTTACCCGTTACTAGCTGCGCATTCCCCCAAGTTATATTATAAATTTTATTTTCATCTTTTTTTCAATAAATAACTCTTTGGCGGACTGCATTTGAGCTTACTGATTAAGAATATCATAAATTTAATAAGATTCATTCAGTAGTTTCGCTAATATCTGGAATATAAGAATCTCTAATTCCCGGCCGGCCGATAGGCGTCTCCACCATGTCGCCTGCCGACCCTTAATAGGGTGCTTTCCGCCTCTCGTGAAGCCGCGCAACGAGATCCGCCGCGGGCTAAGATATAATTAGTCATGCTGCACAATACTAGTGGCATAGAGTATAGAGAGAGGACCGAGTGCATAACTGTATACACGTACACGGACATAGACGCTCGTTGTGCCCTTTGTATATTTGTGTGTGTGTGTGTGTGTGTGCATCGGTGCTCTGTAACAGGGTGAAAGGGGTGTTTGGTAATTGCTGATACGACCAAAAAGTCGACCGTTCTTCGCGATACAGCGAGACGTGAGAAATATCTGGAATTAATCCTACGGAATGTGGTGCAGCGGAGAAAAATTTTTCAACTTTTATTAAATCGCATTTCCATTTACGCGCGCGAGCTAATGAAAAATGATTTCTTCTTTCATGTAAAATATGTTCGCGAAAACAATCGCAACATGTGTTTTATTACAATATATATCGTATATCAAGGACTTAATGGAGCGCACTCGCGTTAAATGCAATTTCGAATGAAAAATGGATCAAGTACATGTTGTGGAACTGTAAAATTTCTTCCTTGTTATATATATATAAGCGTCAGCTTGATATTGATATTGATATCGATATCGATATCGATGCTGGCAACTGCCCATGACAATATAAAATTTGTTTTGTGTCGTGTATTAATAAAGATGTCAATTTCGAAAATCACTCTTTCGAAAAATTCGAATTACATTTACCGCAATTGATTAAGTGCGTTTTTTTTTATAATGCACAGTGCGAACTATCAAATT